AATTCCAAATAGCCTAGAGTTTGACACTGTGAGAGGGCAGTTGAAATAATCTGTTTTGGAAACTATGGTAAGGTCAAAAGAGAGAATCTCTAGTCTTAGTTTAGATATTTTCCCTAATCCGTGGGCCAATCCAGGTGAAACAATGACTGTTGCAAAATTCCTCGTCGTCTTTGTCAGTACATATCAACTTTCTCATAAAAGGTGTCTAGAAGTTTTGACAATATGCATGATGTTTGCCAGTAGAAAGGACTTTCTAGACATTTTGAACATTTCATGCAAAAATGGCTTCTTTCTTGCAGTGTGGCACCTGCCGTCGAAGTGAATAATAATTCTAGAACATGAACACAACCTATTAAATGTTTGAATTGTATAATGTTCCAGATAGATGTATAAAGCCCTATGTTATTGATTAATTTATTGACCATCGTTTAAACCAGGATATTCAAAGTCCCACTGAGATTTCAGAATCTGTTTTTCAGAGCAGTTCTGGCCCCAGAGACAGAGGAGCTATTGTACGTGTATGTGTTTTGGAATAGGGGAAACCTAAGGCACTGTGCCGCCACTGCCAGGACAGAGTTTTGGCCCATGAAAAGACCTGTTTTAGAATTGTGTATTCATAGTACTGTAGACTGAGTCCAAACATTTTGATCTGATGGGTACTTGGGAGGTGAAAATTGTTTTTTATGACCATTTCTCTGTAGTTTTACACAATTAGAAGCACCTCATGGTGAGCCTGGGGTGATCTAAAGACAACTCCAGGTATGTTTTTGCATAGCTGAGCTGTTCTGGTGGGGATTGTGTCAAGTCCCTGTTACAAACCGTCTAACGTCTCCTGCTACGATAGTTCATCTGCTTATTTTAAAAAAAGAAGATCAACAAATAGTGTTTTTTTAAAAAAGTGCCGATCCGAAGAGACAGCAGAGGAGACAGGCCGTGTGTGAACGACAGGGGAGTGAAGTGACACTGACTAATGTGATTTCAAAAGCAATCTGCGGAGTGCATGTGGCAGGTTTCACAGAAAGAGCGCCTCTAATCAGGATAAAATACTGAAGCCTGGAAAGTCCGACGCTTTCACCTGCTCCTGCAAACTCCTCTCACTTTCCACACTCCCACTAATGTTCGTTTAACAAGTCCGTTTAGCTCTGTTTTATCGCAGTTCACTTCACAAAGTCAAACGTGAGACAATAATGAGACAAACCGAGCGAAACATGGATCTTGAGAGACGGAGGTTTTTTTTTAATTTGTGTTCGATTTTGCTGCAAGAGATCTTAACAAGACCAAAACCAGGTCTAGATTGAGATGGGCATTAGCTTCTATATAAGTCTAAAAGTGTATCCCAGTTTTAGAAATCCAAGTCATTATATAAGGAGGTATTCGAGTTTGAATTAGTAATAAGAGGAGATACTTGGTGCTGCTGTATTTTATTACTATGGTTAGCTACTTTTCAAATTATTGTATTTCATTGGTTTTTGTTTGTATGGATGGATGTGTATTCTGCTGCTACAGGACACCTTAATTCCTCCTAAGAGGATCAATAAAGTGTCCATCTATCTATCTTGGTATGAAAAAATAAGAAGCACAGCCTCTATAGGTTTTGCCATTCACTAAAGTCCCGTTTCCCACCAGCCCTAGATGGCCCTACTCCACTCTACTCTAACCCCGTTTAACTAGTACCAAGATAATTTTTTTTGTACCGGCGCCTCGTTCTATCCAGGCCGAGCTGGTACTAAAGTATTTAACTGACAGTGATGGCCATAGTGGAGCTGAGGCTATGGCTACCAAGGGATATCCCCGGATAGGAGGTTTTCAGTGGGTAGATTGCTAGCATACAGAGTGCCAGATACTAAAGAGTAATGGAAACTCACCAGGTAGAGTAGAGTAGAGAGAAAAGTAGGGTTGATGGAAGCGAGGCTGAATTATAAAGTCAACATAGGTCCATTGATTTTCATTTCCAAGCATTGATCATTCGAGATGAAATTATTTTTCATTTTAGATGCCTGTATTTTCCATCAAGATCAATAGGAAAATACAGGCATCTAAAATGAAAATAATTTCATCTCGAATGATCAATGCTTGAAATGAAATCAATGGACCTATGTTGACTTATAATTCAGCCACGCTTCCATCAACCCTAACTTTTCCTCTCTACTCTACTCTACCTGGTGCGTTTCCATTACTCTTTAGTATCTGGCACTGTATGCTAGCAATCTACCCACTGAAAACCTCTATCCGGGAAATCCCTTGGTAAGCCATAGCCTCCAGCTCCACTATGGCCATCACTGTTCAGTTAAAATACTTTAGTACCAGCTCGGCCCTGGATAGAACGAGGCCGGTACAAAAAAATTATCTTGGTACTAGTTAAACGGGGGTAGAGTAGAGTGGAGTAGGGCCATCTAGGGCTGGTTGGAAACGGGACTTTAGTGAATGGCAACCTATAGAGCAGTGCTTCTTATTTTTTCATACCAAGATCAGATATGGACACTTTATTGATCCTCTTAGGAGAATTAAGGTGTCCAGTAGCAGCAGAAACACATCCATCCATACAAACAAAACCAATGAATACATAATTTGAAAAGTAGCTAACCATAGTATAAAAATACAGCAGCACCAAGTATCTCCTCTTATAACTAATTCAACCGAATACCTCCTTATATAATGACTTGGATTTCTAAAACTGGGATACACTTTTGACTTATATAGGAGCTAACTGCCCATCTCCAATCTAGACCTGGTTTTGGTCTTGTTAAGATCTCTGCAGCAAAATCGAACAGCAAATTAAAAAAAACCTCCGTCTCTCAAGATCCATGTTTCGCTCGGTTTGCTCATTATTGTCTCACGTTTGACTTTTGAAGTGAACTGCGATAAAACAGAGCTAAACGGACTTGTTAAACGAACATTAGTGGGGGTGTGGAAGTGAGAGGAGTTTGCAGGAGCAGGTGAAAGCGTCGGACTTTCCAGGCTTCAGTATTTAACCTGATTAGAGGCGCTCTTACTGTGAAACCTGCCACATGCACTCCGCAGATTGCTTTTGAAATCACATTAGTCATGTCACTTTCACTCCCCTGTCGTTCACACACGGCCTGATCTCCTCAGCTGTCTCTTCGGATCGGCACTTTAAAAAAACACATTTGTTGATCTTCTTGTTTTAAAATAAGCAGATGAACTATCGTAGCAGGAGATAGACGGTGTAACAGGGACTTTGCTGGTGTAATGAGTAGAGGATGAGCAGGCTTGTAGATCTGGCAGCAAACATCTATCTGGAACATTATACAATTCAAACATTAATGTGGCCGGGTCTACCACAGTGAACTTTCGCGAAGAGCTTCATGTGTATGCATCAAACTGAAATCTCCCCATTGTGGTACGAATAAAGGACCTTCTTCTTTATGGAGAAATTGTGAAAGTGCCAACATGATTCAATACTGGAAGCGTATCAATACAGCTAAATTTTCTTTTTTACTCTCTGAGAGATCAGATGAATGGCTGAGAGACGGCTTCTACTCTAACAATGTGACTGAGGTCAAAAACAATTGCATGTGGAAGCTGGTGATTGAACCAAACAGTTTTGAGAGCGAGGAGCTGATACATGGATTGTATTTTGTGCTTTTGTGGTTTCAAAGCGAGGCACTCCAGCTTTAATTATTCAATATTGAGCTCCAAACAAAACATGACAAAAGTAAATTTCCAATTACATAACAACGAAGAACCTCTTTACACTGAGAGAGCCACATGTGGTGAGATGAGAGGACTCCTGGGAAGATTCAGAATAGAAACGGAAAACACAAATGTAAGAAGAATTGACATGACGTCCAGGTGCAGAATTGTTTATACTCGTTTCATGTATCTTTGTCAAAACTCCATAGTGATACATTGTCATAAACTTTGTCATTTCTAAAGTTTGTTGTTGTTTTGTAAAAAGGGAACACCCATGATGCCGCATTAGCTTATAGGCAGGGCCCTAAAACAATACATCTAAAACAAAAGTCACATTATGTCTTTTTACAATCTTCAAACCAATCTGTTACTTTTTTACACTTTTACACTTACACACGTCCTCACAGTTTCCGTCTGTACTCTTGAGTTATGTTCTAGAGGTTGGTCCTACACATTGTAATGTATCTGTCACGTGGTGAAAAGGAGGAAGGGATGAAAATGCTAAAGTGCAAAGTCGATCTACCTTTTATAAATCCAATGTTAGACTCTTGTGTGTGTCATTTAATTTCATTTTCAAGCCCTTTATTTTCCATTTCTGGGTCAGGGGGGTGGCAATGAGAGCTGCCACCCAATGCTCATAGCACCAGTCCCTCGCTGAGCCTCTGCAGGGGGTGAGTCCTCAGGAAGATTGCTGCTGTGTCAGTGGTGAAACAGCCTTGGTCTTTCAGTGGGGGCTTCAGGCAACGTGGGGTCTTGCCCAAGGACACAACAACAGTAGACATCAGTGGGAGCAATTGGAGTAGGTCCCATGGTGGGAATCGAACTCACGACCTCCAGACTCAAAGGCCACTGCTCTACCAACTGAGCTACTGTCACCCTTGTGTGTGTCATCTAACTGGGAAAAAGAGATTCTGTTGGTTCTGGCTAATCTGTGCTGAACTCTCCCATTTGAAAGACAGAGTTTGACAGACTTGTTATGTTTCTGACGGGCTCTTCACTTTCTGTCTGTTTTTTGTTTTGTTTTTTTCACAAAACTCAACTGAATGTAAAATGCTGGAACTGAGGACAAAGACAAGAACTGGGAAACAAACAGGACAGACAACAGAAGGGAAATTTAAGGAACTAAATCTCAGCCTTTGGTTTCATGGTGTCATATAATGCTGGAATCATTTGTGGGGTTTTTTTGACAAGAGTTTTTAAAATGTTCTCTATGGTTTAGATGTGTTTGGGCCTTTACATGTGATGCTGAAGCTGGCGCATTTGATTTTGCCTTTCATCCGGTGTTGTCTTCTTGTAGCGGACTGTGAATCGCTGTAAATGGATCAGGATTTGGGGGTCTTTAAATCATGTCTAAGTGCTTCTCTGGTGTGTTGTGTGCAGTTTGCCCGGGCACACAGAACAAGCTGAGCACGCTGTCTGACCTGGAGCAGCAGTACCGGACGCTCAAGAAGGTCTACGAGAACTGTGAGGTCGTCATGGGCAACCTGGAGATCACCAGCATCGACCGCAACCGCAACCTCTCCTTCCTCAAGGTACCTTTTCATTTGACATAAAACATATATACTTCCAAAATAAACCTTGGTTCATAAATAACAATACATTTAAGGTCCATAAACATAATCATCTCTACATTTGTCTTAAAAAGATGCGGACAGAGAGAGTGGAGTCTTCGGCGTTTTTAGTTTCCCACTAAATCACTTCATATACATTCAAATGCACTCAGCAGTTTCAGCACCATGGACAGCTCTAGGGTCTATCCAGCTCTGACCAGAAACTAGAACTGCAGAATTTTGGCATTGTGTGACTTTTTTTTAAAACCAACAATGCGACTGATTTAGATTCATTGGGGAATTGTGTAACAGTAATATTACATATTTTTTGCCCATTTGTGGTTGTAGTGACCCAATGGCTGTAAGATTGGCTCTGTCACAGTGGTCTCCGGGACACTACAGGGTCAATTGTTTCTATGGTTTTCTCGCCTCTGCTGTGGGAAGGTACCATGCTGACCGCTCTTATAGCCACTGGGTTACTGCTAGATGAAGTTTGCACCAAAATAAACTGCATAGGTAAAAACAGACAAACCCTTTCATAAAATCAAACATTAATGCTCGTGGACAAAGTTTTTAAGACAACATTTTGCATCCACCTCTGCTGCTGTCACCTGAAGTGCTGTTGCGTTTTATAACTATTTTTTTCCACTTTTAGAATTATCTATGTAGTTGTTCTGTTTGTATGAATGCATGTGTTTTTGCTGCTACTGGACACCTGCATTTCTCCTGTGGCGGTCTGTCTATGTATCTACAGTATCTATTACAATGTACTCAAATTTATGTGCTCATTATTGGTCTCTTTTTTTCAGTTTTCTTGTTTTCAAAGACCTTACGTATTCACATTACTCTGGGAACTTCATCCCACTTGTTTAACAGAATTCTGAGTATTGCTTTTTTAGGACTATGGTGAATAATGATATGTTTTACGGATACAAGTGAATTTTGTGTAAAGGTTGAAACCATGTAGTCAATTCAAGGGCGAAACTGTTAGTTTAGAACAGACTGAACTTTTTAACAGTAATGTAAATTATGTCTGTTTTATGCATTAATTTGTTGAGGTCAATACTGATTCCACTTGTTTAGGCTCTTGTTCTGCGGATTACCAATATATATTTATAGGATAGGTTAGGATAAACTTTATTGATCCTGAAATAAATGACTGATTGTGCCACGTTGCGTCAAAAATGTGATCTGATGAGCCCTTCAATCTGCACAGTGCAATCAAAAAGTCACTATTTTAAAAGCGCAGTGGACTTTCACAATAATTTCATGTTCCAGTCTATGATCTGAATCACACACAGCTCATACGCATGTGTGTGTGTACACAGCTGCAGCCGTTGCTCTTTGAAATGGAAATAGGGATGTATAGGAGGATTTGCTATTTCAGCACAGCGGACAGCTCCCCAGCTCTGTTCTAGTGAGTTTAGCGATCGCACACTTGATTTCAGCACCACCGCTTGTTTCTGCTTAGCCAAGAGTGAACTTTCTCCCCCATGGACAGCTTCAGAGTACAGACCATGCCCCCTTCACATTTCCTGGCTCTAATCATCCAACTCACAGTGCCACAGTGAAAAAAAGGGCAAAGTTGATCTACCTTGTTGAGGTAGAAAGTTGATCTAGCACAGGGACTGGACTCCTGTTAGTGCCCAGAGTCAGAACTAAACATGGGGAGGCTGCTTTTCAGATTCATGCTGCTAAAATCTGGAACAGTCTTCCTGGAGATGTGAGACAGGCCTCCTCTCTGACAATGTTTAAAGCCAGGTTAAAGACAGTTCTGTTTAGCTGTGCATACAACTGAGGGATTTTATATTTGTATCTTTCTTTTTAATGTTCTGTGATTATTTATGATTTTAATGCTTTCTTGTTTTGTTCAGCACTTTGAATTGCCTTGTGTATGAATTGTGCTATATAAATAAACTTGCCTTGCCTTGCCTTACCTTTATAAAGCCAATGTTAGGCTCGTGTAGGGCTGGGCGATTAATCGATTTTAATCATTAATTCGAGTTTTACGTTTAGGACGATTTCTTTTTTTTAAAATTCGATTTTTATTTTCTCCAGCGCAGAACTACAGCGCTAACGCGCTAACCGCGGGTCTATGGTGCTGAGCAGTCATTTTGAAGCTAACCTAATGCTAACAGTCTCCTTCTGGCCTGATGCTCGCTCTCACAGTTGGTGCTGTTGCAATAACACTTCACACGTTCAAGAATCAGACTTTATTTAATCGCCAAAACACACACACACACGCACGCAGGCTCCGGTCGCTATGTTTGTACGCCATGTTCGTACGCCACATCTTTCACGCTCTCTCACGCTCGTTATTCCAAAGCGCACTCCCGTGTCCGTGGCGCGCACACACTCGTGTCCCACTGAGCCGCTGCACTTTGGGGAAAGACACGTCTCACACATTGTTCTCATTGCTCTGATACAAACAACGTGTTCCCCGCTGTCTGTTAGCTACAGTAGCTGCTACAGTAGCTGTTAGCTACAGCATCAGAATGTAAACAGGAAGCTCTCACAATGCGGGAGTCACTGAAGTTAGTATTAGCGCCACCAGCTGGACCGAGCGTTGTACTACAGCACAGTTACTCAGGCACAGTTGAAAGAACAAGCATGAAAACCCGAGGAGGCTTTTGGAAAAGACTGTCTCTTACAACATTTCTATTTTGAGTAATCAGTTTTGAAAATGTGATATTTCATGTAAATAATGCATGTGTTTAATAGGATTTATATATTTGCGATGGGCCTTGTTTGTGTGATTTAAGTTATTTTGAAGGTGCATAGTGTCATTGTAAGTGAAGTTATTATAAAACTGTTAAGCTACATTTTCACTGTTTACAATGGCAGAGCCATCTCGTTTACAAGCATGTTTTAAGGCTTAATTCCTGTTACACTTATGCTCCATGGGGATTTAGATTAAACTGCATAAAGGAAAATCTATTTCTTTGTCAGTTGTAGTTTGTTTTTAAATAGAAAAAAATAAATCGATTAAAATCGAAAATCGGATTTGGTGTGAAAAAATCGGAGATTTTTTTTTTTTGCCATATCGCCCAGCCCTAGGCTCGTGTGTGCGTCATCTAACAGGGAAAAAAAGTTCTGTTGGCTCCAGCTAATCAATCCGAAATCCTCCCATTTGGAAATTGACAAATATGTTATATTTCTGATGGGCTTTTCACTTTCTGTGTATTTTAGGGTTGCACACCCCTGGATTAGGTTGAGATTTGAGAATTTTTTTGTGTAATCATGGCTTGTTTACGCTTTGGTACCAAACTTCCAAACCATTTGGATCTATAAATAATAAATAGTAAAAGTAATAAGTAATACAATACTTCTAACTATTGGTCATTTCTTGCAAAACCATACAGTAGGAGCAGCATCATGTTATGGGGCAGCTTTTTTTTTCAGTCGGGACAGGGATGAGTATCAGAGTTGAGGGGAAGATGAATGGAACAGAATACAGGACACTCAAGATGCAAAACAAGCATAAAAACTAGACTAGTTTAAAACAAAACATATTCTTGTTTTTGAAGTCCAGATTAATATCCAAGTATCCAATCCCCTTCAAACCTGACACACCGTGACTAAATTGTGAGGACAAAGGGGGAAAGATGTCAGTCAAATCCCATAAGACTAGCATTCACCAGCAACCTGGATTCCACAAGCATTCACTCATGCAGTTTGGTCCCTTTCTAGTTTTCACTTTTAACAATTTTGTTTTACAGTTGTCTCTTAATCTGTGTAGCATGCCAGTAAAAGTTATGTTTGTTGTCGTGACTTGATAAAATATGCAAAAGTTCAAGCTGTTGTGACACTTTTGTAATTCACTGTACGATAGTTACTCCTCACTCTGAACTGGTGCACACATCAGGACCATGGACAACTCCACTGTTCTATTCTGCTTTGTTTATGGTTACTAACCATTGGTTAGCGCCTTAACATTTCAGCACCATGGACAGTGAAGGAGCGTATACCTATGGTGTCATTCAATTCATTGTTGTATAGTCCTAAATCACAACAGTAGTTATCTTGGAGGATTTTGCAGAATTGTCGATTCAACAGTTCAAATACTGGAAATGCAATGATAAAAAGTCATTCGTCCAGTCAGTCAAAATCCATCCATCCATCCATTTTCTACCCTTTAATCCATTTCTGGGTCAGGGGGATGACAGTCAGAGATGCCACCCAAGTCTCATAGCACCAGCCCCTCACTGACCCTCTGCAGGTGGTGAGTCCACAGGAGGACGGCTGCTCTCTGAGTGTGAGCATAGCCTTGATCTTTCAGTGGGGGCTTTGGGCAAAGTGGGGTTAAGTGTCTTGCCCAAGGACACAACGACAGCAGTCATCAGTGGGAGTCGATGGAGAAGGTGCAGAGGTGGGAATTGAACCCACGACCTTCTGGGCTTAAGGCCAATGCTCTACCAACTGAGCTACTGTCGCCCAGTCAGTCAAAATCATTCGTCCTAATTGTTAAAAGATTATCATAAATGTTGTTTAATGTCCTGGATAATCACCGCTGTTCTCATACTCTCCTCCATTGGCCAGAATAAAACACAGTGAACGCGGGAAGGTCGACATTGAGGGAGGAATTTGTTCCCACTGACGGACAGGCACTCTAGTGCGTAGGCGATAGAACGAGGACAAGGGTCGTGCTATGGAAGACTGTGGGGAGAGGGTGCAGCCTATGACTCCCGGCTGGGGAAGACAGTCTACAAGTGCAGATGGAGGTGGCCTGATATCAGCACCATGGACAGTGAAGGAGTGCATACCTGGTCTTTCATTCACTCAGAACCATGGACAGCTCCACTGTCCTGCTATTTTTGCCGAATAAACAAGGCTGGTGGCACAGTCAAACTATCTCCAAACGAATACTTTATTAATTATAGTTCATATTAAAGTATATAATATATTTCTCAGTAATGTAACAGTAGCCCAGACAAGATGTGGCATTCTAGTGAATTAAAAGAACCTATGATATTAGCACCACA